TAGATGTAGGCCTCTGTCAGATATATATTTGACAAATATTTTATTCACATTCTGTGAGCAGTCTCCATGCTCTCTTGATGATTTCTTTGGCTTTGCAGAAGCTTATCAGTTTAATGAGGCCCCATTTGTCTATCTTATCTTATGATCTGGGCACTTCAGATTTTGTCAGGATTCTGTTGCCAGTTCCAAATTCCATAAGAGTGATTCCTGCATTATATAGCATTCTTAAAGTTTGAGGTTTTACGTTTAGGTCTTTGATCCATTTGGAGTAAATTTTTGCGTGTGGCGATAGGAAGGGGTCCTGTTTCAATATTCTGCATGTGTTTAGTTTTCCCAACACCATTTAATGAATAGGTTCTCCTCTCCCCAATGGTTGTTATGGGAGGGTTCGTCACACTCCAGTCTGGGCGACAGAGTGAGATGCCAACTCAAAAAAAAAAAGTATAAACTACATATACATACACATAAGGAGAAAAGGGATACTGTATCCTAGAGTAGATATTTTAGAGGAGAGTTCTTTGTTTGTGAAGGGTCAAAACTGTATGTTTGCTTAATAAGGCATCATTTTTTTGTAACATGGTAACTCGACCTGTTTCCTTCCTGTCTGTGATACTGATAGCTGTCGACTTGCTGGAGAAGATGCTTGTGTTGGACTCAGATAAGAGAATTACAGCAGCCCAAGCCCTTGCACATGCCTACTTTGCTCAGTACCATGATCCTGATGATGAACCCGTGGCTGATCCTTACGACCAGTCCTTTGAAAGCAGAGACCTCCTTATAGACGAGTGGAAAAGTGAGTCCTAGGGCAAGATTAACATCTAGCTTGAGAACTTACATTTTAAAATCTTTTCTAAGTGAACCACCAACCAGAAGTCGGGGGAGAAATAAAAACCAAATGATTATAACCCACTTGCTAAAACTTGTAGTTGGGGTCTCTTATGCAGAATGAGTATGTTCCTCTGATGGAAACAATTTGTTATAGTTGATGACACTCTCTGGACCTTTGAGCTACTTATGTATGTCTGCTTTTGTGCATAGCCTTTCATATATATATGCATCGAGCTTTTAGGTTTTCAGAGTCTGTATTTGTAATATCTCTGGGATAAGCAGGGAATAGGGTTTTGTTGTTTTTTGGTTTTTTTTTTTTTTTTTACAGTTTTACAATTGATAGAACTGGGCAAAGAGAGTTTATATCTTATCTATTAATTTGGACCTATTAGAGACTAGGTCCAAATGGCAGCCAGGATGGAAGCCATGTCTTCTATGTCCAATCTCATATTGTCTCCATAAACCATAAGTTCAGAACTCTAGTTAAATCCCAAAAGCCAGCATTATCTGTTGCAGCAGTTTGTGAGAGTGCTTTATTATTCTTGAGTACTTTCTCCAGAGAACTTTAAAGAGGAGGCACTCAACAATGAAAGAAATGAAGAAAAAATGGTTCTTGTATATATATCCTTGAACTTCTGTGTAATCATCTGTTCCATTAGGGTATGACACACGAGCAGTGAGGCAGTTATTTGAAGTAGCCCATCATACCACTAGGCTGGACAGGGAGGAGGGATCTTGAGCTTAGAAGTCAGAATACTTGCCAGCAAACGTTGTAGTCTCAGCTTTCACATCTTATTTTTCTTCTCAATTTCTAGGCCTGACCTATGATGAAGTCATCAGCTTTGTGCCGCCACCCCTTGACCAAGAAGAGATGGAGTCCTGAGCACCTGGTGTCTGTCCTGTTGATCCCATTTCACTGTGAGGGGAAGGCCTTTTCATGGGAACTCTCCAAATATCATTCAAGTGCCTCTTGTTGCAGAGATTTCCTCCATGGTGGAAGGGGTGTGTGTGCGTGTGTGTGTTTGTGTTTTGGAATGTGTGCATGTGTGTGTCTGTCTTTGTGGGAGGGTAAGAGAATAACACGAGCAAACTATGATCACAGTGACTTTACGTGGAGCTGCGGATGCTCCGTGGCAGCCTCCGCTTCCTCTTCTTCCTGAGAGTCAACTCAGGCAGGCAAGAGCTGCCATCTTGTTAAGGATACGTCAAATGCAGAGTAAAAAATACTAAATGTCCCCAATCCCAGTCGTGCTTTTGCCACTTTGGCTTCTCCTGTGGCCCACTTTGACGGTGCAGAGTAGACTTGACCACATCCCACAGTGGCACAGAGAGAAGGCTCACACCTTCCGGCTGCTTCAGACCTGAATCTATCCCTCAGCAATGCAAACAGCCAAAAAGGACCAACTGGCCTATGTGCACTAGCCTGTGATTAACTTGCTTAGTATGGTTCTCAGAACTTGACAGGTGTATTTGAAACTGTAAATATGTCTGTGCCTTAAGAGGAGAGGAAAAAGTATAGATAGTTAAAAAACTGCAGCTGCTGAAATGTTCTGAGCCAGGCAAGCAGACAGGGCTGTCGGACGGCTGCATTATGGGCCCCAAGTCACCAGGCAGGCTCAGAGGCGGCCATGTGTGCGCATGCATATATGTGCATCTCTTTCTCCCTTACCCCCAGGTGTGGCCATGTCTCTGCTTACCCTTTACCTTCAGTGCAGAGGTTTCTTGAATATTGGCCCCAGTAGTCAGAAGCAGGTTCTTGCTGTCAGTGTACTTCCTGTGTACTCTTTTATTTCTAGCAGAGTGAGGATGTGTTTTGCATGTCTTGCTATTTGAGCATGCATAGCTGCTTGTCCTGTTCTCTTTGGGAGGCCCTGGTGCCAGACGGGTTTGCCAGTGAAGACTTCTTGGGTAGTTTAGATCCCATGTCACCACAGCTGAGGTTATGGCAAGTGAAATCATCCTCTCTCTAACCCCTAGTGCTATTTTGTGTTGAACACAATTGATACTCCAGGTGCTTTTGATGTGAAAACCATGAAAAATAGAACAGATGGATGTATAGTATTTTATTTCTTGCCATCTGCGTTTCAACAAACTATTTTGGGGGAAGTATCATGGGAAAGATCAGGGCTTTCCCCAGGAATATCCCAAACTTTGGAAAACAGGTTATTCTCTTCACTCCCAATAACCATTGCTAAGACATGCTGAAAAGAAGAATGAAAAATAAAAGCTCATGAGGCCAGAAACTCCTTTTGCTATCTTTCTCTAAACATGGTTATTTAAAAGCATACAGTAACAAGGTGTCTTTTCCGTTCCTCTATGGAAAAGGGTCTTCTTGGCAGCTTAACATAGACTTCTTGGTCTTGGTTTGGGAAGAAACAAATTTTGTACATTGCAGGAATCCTTTGAGAATGTGATTCCTTTTGATGGGGAGAAAGGGCAAATTATTTTAATATTTTGTATTTTCAACTTTATAAAGATGAAATATCCTCAGGGGTGGAGAAGAGCTGTTTTCTTAACTTTCTGAATTTCAGGCATTTTGTGCTCCGTGAGGGCCCATATATTTAAGCCCTTAGTGTAATCAGAAGTGTAAAACCGCTTCCAGTGTTGACTGTGTGACAGAATCTTGCATTTGGGCCAAGGTGTTTTCATTTCCTATCAGTGCAGTGATACTCCAGAGGGACAGGGAGAAACCCTGAATCAACTGGAGCAAGAAGGAAGGAGGCAGACTGGTGGCGATTCCATCTCACCTGGGATTCTCCCCTCTTTCAAAGGAAGTGAATGTAAAGACCTCATCTCCTATATATGCAGTTCAAATCCTCACCATCCACAGCAAGATGAATTTTGTCAGCCGTGTTTGGTTGTAAATGCTAGTATGGTTTCCTACAGAAATACTGCTCTGGATGTTTTTCATAAAGGTCTTTGCACATGTGACCAGATATGTGTTAGGAGGCTGCTTGCTCCAGGAGCCTGAACTCTTGAGCTGGAGCTCTCGGGAGAGCTCTTTGGTTTCTGAGCATAATGCTCCCATCTCCTGATTTCTCTGGACAGAAAACAAAAGAGAGAATGAGGGAAACTGCTATTTTATTTGTATTCATGAACTTGGCTGTAATCAGTTATGCCATATAGGATGTCAGACAATACCACTGGTTAAAATAAAGCCTATTTTTCAAATTCAGTGAGTTTCTCAAATTTCTTATCTTTTTCTCTTGATTGTTTTTGTTTAATGCACACTGTAGCTTTATATCTGTTTTTTTCAACTGTAGCCTGGCATATGTTTCTGATAGATCATAATATTACTCCTAAAATTTACAGAATATTGACAGAGCTCCTTAGTTGCATGTTTTATGGTGAAGAGAGTCTGGGTCTCTGTGGACGGGTAAAGCGGAGGGCAAGTAAACAGCACATTGCATGGCAGGGTCTGTATGATCTACACTTGGGTGTAAGAGTGGCCCAGGACAGGGGTCAGCAAACTGTGGCCTGAGGGCAAAATCCTGCCTACCACCTGTTCTGTGTAGCCTGCTAAGAATGGTTTTTTATTTGTAAATGGTTGAAAAACAAAAGAAGAATAAATTTTTGTGGCATGCGAAAACTTAATGTAAAATTCAAATTTCAGTGTCCATAAATAAAGTTTTATTAGCGTATAACCACACTAATTTGTTTACCTATTGTCTGTGGCTGCTTTTGTGCTACAGTGACAGGGTTGGGTAGTTGCAAGAGAGACCATAGGACCTGCAAAGTGTAAGCCATTTACCACCTGGCCTTTTACGGAAGTCTGCTGACCCTTGGTCTGGGACTACAATTTCCTCATCTATAAAATGGAGTTTGCTTAGGTTATTTTCAGCTTTGACATTCTAGACTATAAGCACTATATTTATTTATTTATTTATTGTTTAGTTGGAGTCTCACTCTGTCACCCAGGCTGTCAGCCTCGACCTGCTGGGCTCTGGTGAGCCTTCCGCCTCATCCTTCCAAGTAGCTGGAACTACAGGCGCACGCTACCACACCTGGCTAATTTTTTTGATTTAGTGTAGAGATGGGGGTCTTGCCAGGTTGCCCGGGCGGGTCTCGAACCCACGGACTCTGGCAATCCACTCACCTCAGCCTCCCAAAACTTTTTTATTTTAAACTGCCAGAGCTTGATTGCCTGAGCCCGCGGGTTCGAGGCCCGCCCAGGCAACTTGGCGAGATCTCATCTCTACAGTAAATCAAAAATTAGCCGGGCATGGTAGTGTGCGCCTGTAGTTCCAGCTACTTGGAAGGCTGAGACGGAAGGATTGCCAGAGTCCAGCAGGTTGAGGCTGCGGTGGCTGGGAGTAGCCACTGCTCTCCAGTCTGGGCAGCAGAATGAGACTCCAACTCAAAAAAAACAAAACAAAACAATAAATAAACTGCCAGAGCGTAGGTTGCATGTATATTTATATGTGTACATTGTTTATAGGCTTTTAAGCAAATGTATTTTATGACTGTTTTGTGTTAGCTTACTATAGTCCTTGAAAATACTCCTCACAAGCCGGGCTCGGTGGCTCAGCCTGTAATCCTGCACCTTGGGAGGCTGAGGTGAGTGGATTGCCTGAGCCCACGGGTTCAAGACCCGCC